GAGGTCCCTTCCAACTTTATCATTATTATTATTATTATTAAAAGTCATCAAAGCCTATTCAACTAATAGATCTATCAACAAACATGTCAATTTGGAGCCAGCCTACCAACCCATAAGGAGCTGTATCAATCAAGTGAACAACCAATGATGGACCAATCACCTAGTCACTTCACACATAATGACCAGCCGATCACATGACAGGTCACATGACATGACCAACCAATCACATGACCCACCAACTACATGACCACATGAGATCAATAAAAGCGCTGAAGAACTGAAACAAGACACTTCAACCAAAATTCTGCTGAGGATATCACCTAGCCTGGTGACGAAGCATTCGGAAGCTAAACAGCAAGCTCAGAAAGCAAACCACGACCAACATCTACCATCCAAGTTACAGATATTTTCTATCATTTCTAATATTCAGATATTTTTGCTACCAGATTGCTCTGATGTTTTGCTATCGGAAATGAACTGCTGCCAAATCCTGTCCTTTATTGACCATGGCGATTTATTTTAGTTTTTTAAAAGGCTCTGTGATCAACTCATTGAAACTTTTAATCAATTCAGAGTATTAATGTATACCACATAAGCAGGAAATTTCCAGCAATGCAGGGCTACACTAAGCTTAAAGCTGTATATGTGAGGAACAATAAGAAAAAAGCACTGCAAAAAAGATTCTTTTGTCCCCCAAACTGTTTTTCTTCTGTCCCAGTAACAGTCCAAACAGATACATGTCTATTCAGAAGTAAGGGATAAAGAATGCAGTAAGATTTATTCCCAAGTAGGTCTTTATAGGCTGGAAACTAAGCTACCTTCTTTTCAGCAATCCGTCTCTGAAGATCTTTTTGTTTGATGCAAAGCATTTGATATTTAATTAATTTTCCAATCAAAGTTACAGGAAGTGTTTCCCCAGCATCCAGAATGCTTTTTGCTGTTTCTATCACCTGCAGGGAGAAACAAAATGGTAACAGCTTAAACATTTGGCTCAGTGCAAATAAAATGCAACATCAAAAAGACAGTACTACCAAAGAGGTTTGGCATCCCCCAAATCCCGTCCATGTATGTAACAAGGTAAAAAAAATGTTTTAATACTGCTGAGAAGATGCCCAACAAGAAATTGTGGCAAGAAATTCAATTGACTTTCAATGAAACAGCAGTTGAACACGATGTCAACGCTGCTAACATTGGATGTTCCTGCTTTGACAACTGATGAAAATGCAGCCATTTTCTCTATTCCTTTACAATGTTTTTCTTGCTTTAGAAATCAGATGCAGCAAGGGGGGGGGGTTGGAATGTAAGCTTAGCCATAACATATTGCTGTGTGGGAACCCAAGGACAAGCTGATAACAGTTTGGCGGGCTGTGGAGTTAAGGAGAAAGCCTGTGCTTTAAGCTAATTGAGGAATGTGATTTATGACAGTTTATTGGGGGTGGGAATTGCACTTTGTTACTTTGTATCAGGGGGAAGGGAATTTAGTTTTGGGGTTCAACTACGTAGTGCAGATACTTTGTTTCCCGAATAAAAGATTCTTTAAGGAAAACAATGCCTCAAAATTCTTTTGAAGGGTTTCATCTATCGGAACCATGACACACATACCATACAAGAAGCCAGAGAAAACGCGTAAGTGTCTCTCAGATAAATCCATCAGAACATCTGAGCAAAGAAAACAGCCAAAGCAGCAGGCAAACAGGAGGAAGCAATGAGATGGAATGCAGATTTCCAGACTAGCAAGAAAAGACAACAAAGTTTACTGGGACCAGCACTGCAAGTAGCTAGAAGA